TTAAAAGTACCTCTCGCAATGCGTCTGAGCTACAGCCCTCGATTATAAATGGTGGAGGCACGAACGCCGTTGGAAAATATTTTTATATGTTTTTACGAAGAAGAAATATAATGTAATTCAAGCCTGCAAAAGTTAGACGCAAGCTTACTAATGAAGAAAGGATTCCGATGAAGAAAAGTCCATCGTGGAAAAATGTTTATATGTTGTTACGACAAAGCCACCAGGAATGCGTAATAAAAGGTCGTAATTTATATTTATACTTATTTAATATTAATTTTTATTTGGTGCCAGTAAAAAGTGCGAGGAGAAAATATGTATGATAATATGTCGGCGCAAAAGTTTAATGGATTCAACGACGTAGATGAGTTTTTGAACCAATTTGAGACCATTAGTATATTAAATAATTGGTCTGATGTGCAGAAGAAATACGTGTTTGCATTGTATTTGGAGGGGCCAGCTCTGCAATGGTACAAAACGTATTCTTCTTCATTTCCGACTTACATTTTATACTTACTTTCGGCGAAGCATATTTATAATTATTTTTATTTAAATCACATTGTTGACGCAATTGACACGTCTTATCACTCACGTCAACATTACTCGTCATTTCTGGCAAAACCGAGAAGCTATCTAAACTTTTTGATATCGGTTTCAAAGGAGACTTTTCTTTCTTTGGTCCAATATCTGTCATGGGCTTAGAAAAAGAAATTTTATTGTCAACTTCCACTTTTGACAACTCGTAATCACACTTTTCCAAAACATCTCGACCCAGAACCAAATATTTTTCAAGATCGTCTACAACCAGCAACTTCGAAGGATATTCCCTTCCATTAATCATTAACGACACTTTGGTGGACGACTGCACATTTATTGGCGTTGCACCCACTGTGCGTAATGGAAAATTTGGAGTATCATCGATACGCAATTGCAACCTTTCCGCAAAATACCGAGAAATAACTGAAATTGAAGCATTAGTATCCACCAACGCCTCGCAACATACATCATTAATAAAAACAGATATAAAAGGTGCCCTATCTACGCTAAGGGCACCTTTTATATCTGTTTTTACAAGTAGATGACGTATTTAATCACAGTTATAGTGTGAGTCGAGAAGATATTGTATTGCCAGTAAATTGTCAAATAGAGCATTCTCACTGTTGGCAAACACAGGATGTCTCTGCACCGATAATTAGACCCGAGTCTAAGCAGTCGGAAGATTTAGTGCCACAGGCACCAGTTGTGCAGCAGGATACGCCAAGTCAAGGGTATTCACGAGCACATAGTAGTGGATCTTCGTCGGGATCTCCTCAACGTGATTGTCAGAAAAGCGCAACTGAACATGTAGAAAATTTGTCTACATTTGATAGTTCTAGCGTAGATAGGGCACCTTTTATATCTGTTTTTATTAATGATGTATGTTGCGAGGCGTTGGTGGATACTAATGCTTCAGTTTCAGTAATTTCTCGGTATTTTGCGGAAAGGTTGCAATTGCGTATCGATGATAATCCAAGTTTTCCATTACGTACAGTGGGTGCAACGCCAATAAATGTGCAGTCGTCCACCAAGGTGTCGTTGATGATTAATGGGAAGGATTATCCTTCGAAGTTGCTGGTTGTAGACGATCTTGAAAAATATTTGGTTCTGGGTCGAGATGTTTTGGAAAAGTGTAATTACGAGTTGTCAAAAGTGGAAGTTGACAATAAAATTTCTTTTTCTAAGTCCATGATAGATATTGGACCAAAGAAAGAAAAGTCTCCTTTGAAAACCATATCAAAAAGTTTAGATAGCTTCTCGGTTTTGCCAGAGATGATAAGTAATGTTGACGTGAGTGATAAGACGTGTCAATTGCGTCAAAAACGGGATTTAGATATAAATAATTATAATTATGATTTGCCGAAAATATATATAAAATACAATTCGAAAAGCGACATTTCTAATCGTGTTCGCGTAAGTAATGTGGCGAATCTGCGAAGTGACTACGTAAAACGAGCAGCTTCGATGAGTTCTCGTAAAGAATGTATAGATAGTTTACAATCGCATCGGAAGCGAATGTTTGACAAGAAAGACAGGATTGCTTTATCTAAGAGATATGATACGCGAAGGTTAGGGTAGTGAATTGGTTGAGTAGGATTAATTGTATTATGTGCAGATTAGGTATGAATAGGAAAAGGTTGTGTAGGCAGAATCTACTCCATGTGAATAGGATGAAAAAGTTCTATATGAGGGAATTTAATGTGTTTGTTTCTACTAGGTTAATTAATTTTTATATTTATTTTTCATGTGGAATGGTATCGACCTTATGAGAAATATTTGGAGAAAAATTAATATTTTCCTGTACATGCAGACTTGGAAGGAAGGGAGGAGAGGATACACCATCAAATAGATAACATTTACTTTTGTTTTTCTTATATATATTTTTTTAATTTGATAGATATATTGTCCTGTATGTGCGAATAGTTCCTGCTCATTCCTCCAGTTGATCAAGGACTGTCTGCATTCTGGGAAAATATATTTATTTAATTATTAGAAATTCTTCATGTGGTATACCCTCATACCATATGTATGTCTGAGGACATGTAGTTAGAATATGTTGTTGACGTTATACGTGGGTTGGTTCTTGTTGTTTAAGGATGATGAGTGAAGCTGATGGAACGTGATAGCTGCAAAATGAGGACTAAGGCAGCTGGGAGATCAATAGTGATGTAACCCAGTGATCGTCCGATGGATGTTCAAGCCTGTGTCGTCGTTGTGGCAGCATCCACGTTGGAGATAGCTTAGGCTGAGATAGTTAGGAACTTGTAGTGATGTTTAGAATTTTTATTAGGATCGTTCAGCCAGTTTAGGGTCGATGAAATAAAGTGTTAGGGTTTAGTCAGGTTCCCTAATTAGCTAGGATAGCTAACGAGTAATTGTATTTTTATTTGTTTGTTTAGGATGTGATCATGGTCTGTCTTTTTAGATAGGTTTTTGGCAGACCGAAGCCATAGCCTCCTCGGCGGTTACTTGTTGGTAAGTTGATAGCTTCCGAGCAGTGTGTGGCTAGCCTGTAGTAAAGGCTGATCACTATGTATGTTGCCTATCATAGGTAGACTACCAGCTAGGGATATTCACCCCTTCAGCTGTGAGGAAGAGGGATGTAGACTAGGCCGTACTCTATGAGTAGAATTGCTGGCTGAATGAGTTAGTTTGTATTTAGAATCCTTTGAAAAAGAATGTTAAGAAAATAGAAGATCTTGACATTAGTAGTAAGATTATTGATTTGTAACCCAAAACATGTAAATTGGTAAAATAAACCAAAGTTTTAAAATGATCCCGGTTTTATATTATTAAAAGTACCTCTCGCAATGCGTCTGAGCTACAGCCCTCGATTATAGTACAATGGATCCATAAATCAAAGAAGTGTAATGTGGATGGTGTTACTTCATACAAAGGAAGAAGTTAAAAAAAAATAGAATTCGAGACACGATCGTCAACAAATCCTGTTTACCAAAAACAAAATAATAGTAAATAGAGACAAGTTCAGGGGGCTAATGTGAATACAAAATACGAACTTGGCAGATTTGATTTTCTTACCTTAGGGGTCATGTCAATGTTGAACTTCCTGTATTCATTAGCAAAACTGACTTGAGTCCAGATTTTCACAGAAGGTTGAACCTCCGTCTTCGCCTCCTCACCTCCGCATTTTTCATCAGCGGCATCTCTGTGGAGAGTTATGGATATGCAGACCTTGTAGATATTGGAGTACTAACATTAAAAACCTCAATATAAAAGAAATTTTCAAGTTAGCAGCATACAATCAATTTATAAAATCTAAGCCAACACAACGCCAATGTCATTCATGAGATCAACATTCAAAAGATTAAATCAATGACTGTCTTGACAAGCTTAAAGCATTGTACTGATTTAATCTACTTACTATTTATGCTGTATTTAGTTGTTAAAAAATAAAACTATACATACTTTTCAATATACCACTGCTCTGCCAAGTTGTAAACCTGTACCTGTCTTTCAGGTTCTGCATTGACCTCCTTAATGAACTTTTGGAGTCCATCAAAGTTGTAGGATGCCCAGAGTCCACCATAGTGGTCACTGGAGTCCAGGTGTAGGACATTTTTTCCTATCCTGCTACATGCTGCAGCTACGATGGACTCCACCATGCCTATGGTCAGAATAAACAACAATAAAAAAGAATGTAGCATTGCTGAATGTCCAAGGGATGAATTCTTCAACATGAACCGTCCAAGATCGGTGGCAAGCCAAGCGGAGCTTGTCCACATGTCATAGAAGTATGAAATACCATACATAGTATAATTGTTTTATAAACAGCATTGTCGCATCAGGCCTCCATGGATGGCCAACGTCCAGCCTCCATGGATGACCAGACTGACAGGCCGCAAAGACAGACTTAGATGGCTGATAGGAATTTGAAATTAGACCGACTTTCTTTGGACAAAAGATGATGACCAACCTTCCTTTCTTTGACAAAACACAATGAGGGCATTCCTGACTAAACCTCCGACACGAGCAGACAACTTCTCCTGACTAAATTGTACAGACAGACCATAGAAGCACCTTTTGTGTTTCTTCTCTGTCTATATGACATTTTTCATACTTCTTTATAGACATAGCGGCCGCTGCTTGGTGTTTGTATAGCATTTGTGTTTATTTCTAATGAAGTTTTTATATCTAGTTTTTTTGGAGTTCACAGATGAATGATTTATTAACAAATTTGGTAATTTCCACTCTGATACCATTCTATCAAGCCGAAGTTAAAAAAAATAGAATTCGAGACACGATCGTCAACAAATCCTGTTTACCAAAAACAAAATAATAGTAAAAAGAGACAAGTTCGAGGGCTAATGTGAATACAAAATACGAACTTGGCCATGCCATTCTATCAAGCCTAAAATTAACAAAAGCTTATACCTATTTTTCACACCAAATGATAACCTTATATGAATATAGACCCATAACTAATATTTTCAAATTTAATAGACATAAAGTTAGAATTTGTGTTTATCTCTATCAATTGCTGAGTTATAAAAAATCAATTGTACTGTTTTTTTAAATTCAAGTTGTAAGATATAGCAAGCAAGGATTATTTTTATTTACTTCAGCAATTTAATTCAAATCGTCATAATAAATATAAAATCAAGAAAATATTGTACAGAGAGAAAGTATATTAAATATATAGTCACAAATTTTTTTAATAAAAAACATTATTATAAATATCATATAAAGTTATAAAATCTATCACTTAGAAAAAATTCCTTATATGCGGCTTGGTTCTAACCAATGTCTTCCAGCAAACCGTGTCAGACGCTATGCAAATCAAGCCACAGAATGAACTAGCAGACCGTACAAATTTTTCTATGTGCTTCAGTGTTCAATCTTTGTGTTAACAATAATAACAAAGTAGTGGAGTAATTTCACAAAAATAATTTAATATCATGGTGGTCTAATGTCAAATATTGTGACATTTAATAACTTAAAAATTACATATTATTATAAATTTTAAGACTTGTGGTTATTCAGTGATTATCATCACTAGTTACTAAGACCAGGCTGATTGTCTTATGTTATTATTATTTCTCTCTTTTTAAATACATAATTTAAATTGAATGAGTAGTAGACATGAATTATGCACTATTTATGCACACAACTAATCAGAGATTACCCAAGGTAGGTACTTCATGCATGACACAAGGCCGTCAATAGTCCGCAACAAAGTTCATTGACATCCAATAACTACAAAAAGCAGGACAATTAATTGAATCAACAACATCAAAATTCAGCGTAAGTAACAACGAAACTGTTGCGAGTTTTATAGATATAAAGAGCACAATGACTGCAATGTCGCTCTGCAAATATTTAATTAATGAGTAAACCGCGGAATGTGGGGTGATTCTTCGCACCTTTTACAAACTAATTTCAATAACATCACTTTCCTCTTCAATGTTCTTACCGGAAAACTATTTGAATACATCTTCCCACTACAAATTAAGATCATGATCCGACTTAAATTACACCGATGACCAGACAATGAAAAAAATAGATCGATAAGTAGGCTGCTCCTATCGCCATCACGACCGGTGTCGTTTTATTATAAATATATGACTTACCCGTCCCAACCACGATGACCTGGAAGTCAGTTGGTAAATCGTCATCCATTCTGCCTTTTTACTGCTTGCGTACAAAATTATAACACGAAATAAAATTATAAAATGTAATTTTTATCGACAATAGTCCCTAACTTTCTCTCGCAACTCAACTTGACATTTGAGACTTGACAGTTCAGTTGACATTGACGACCAAGCAGTTTTTTTTTTTCATGATTAGATACACACCCCAAGTACGCATGACTCAAGAAGGTGTTGTAGTACTTGGAATATAATTCGATCCGTATCGCGAATTTTAAGTAGGGCCCATCACGATCGCGACCTAGTCGAAATTATCTGAACAGGAAATGAGATGTGCTGTTATTACTGATAACTTGGCCGACTGAACAATACCCTATTATTTGATTTCTACTTTTGTCCATTAGAAATACTCTATATAAAAATAGTTTGTCTATAGTGGATTAAAACTTAAAAAGCGCGGTTTGACTGCCCACAATTTTCTTTACATCTGTTACTTATTTCTTTAACTCAAGACCTCGAATATAAAACAATTCCCAGTACTGTACAGGAGCTTTTAAAGCACACAAGTTTATATAATGAAATATTTGAATTTGTAAATAGCACCTTTAAAATAGTGTAAGTTGTTTATATTTAATTTCTTTTTTTAACTTTTATACTGTAGTACTTAGATTATTATTCTAAGCTGTAGTAGTTAGTTTTTTTTTATTACATTTGGCCAATGGCTTCTCAAGGCCTTAATAAATTAAGAAAAAATTAAATAGCGCGGGAACTAGCTACAAAATAGGAGTTTCAAAAATTAGTTCTAGCAGGTCGATAAATAAATACCTCGCCACTGCCTTAACGTTGGTGTTTTTGACCAATATTATCTGACTGTACTCTTCAAAACTGTTGATCAACATTATACGCATCCCCGAAACTGACGCTGACCAATCCTAGTGGCCGCTATTAAGGAAATATTACAAGTAAACATGTTTATAACAGCTTTACACCCTGTACGTGCCATTAACTGTAGATGGTAAAATGCTGACCCCACTTACCCCACGTAGTTCTTGAGCTCAGATTCCCAACCGAAGGTCTGTAGCATAATTTAAATTTTTAATTTTTTTAAATAGTGATAAAAAACATATGTACCTGAGAAACTGCCTCCGAGAACGTGAGAAACTGAATTAGCTTTGGCCAATTAGCCATTTGTGGACTGTGATCTAAAGTTATTGGTAGAGTAGGTTGGATTTTAACGAATCCATATTATTTTTATTTATACCTATTTCCAATTTAGGTCGTCTCTGCGATACAAACAAATCAGTGCAGTGGAACAGTCACCGCACAAATTGTAAGTACTCAAGATTCACTTTATTGATAATTAAACCGAACATAAGTTAGCATACGTTTTTGAAGCTACACAAAATTGCAGCTTGATTTTTATGATACTACGCTAATAAAACTAGCTGTTTTGGTATTTGTGAAACCCAAAAATGTGGTCATGAAAATGAAACTCCTCATGAGTTGTGTTTTTATATTTACAGCTTTTTACATACATCTCAACATTGTACAGACTACCGGGAGCTCTTTTTAATTCGAGCAACGAACATTACATGAACTAACACGTAAATCTAAATCTTACGTAATAAAAACGACTTTCGTGTAGTCAATCTACCTATGCCTGCAAGAGGCATGGTGGGCACACTAGAACCAATAAAATTCTGGCGTCCGCACCGTTTAATACGCTACACAAGAACAGTGGCAGTCCGCAGCTTCATTGGAAAGTGATTTGGTACGAGCATAATTATTTTAGGCCGCTTCCAGCGTTCATTTATTGTTCAAAGGACGTATTGGTCTCAAGTGCCCTTCAATAATTTCGAGGGTAATTTAAAATAAAAAACAAGTATGTCTACGCATATACAATTACACATTCTCAAATTGACTTTTCACTGAAGACTACCTTAACAAAGTTAGTATTCTACCTACCTATCTACATTTACAAATACCATGTGGAATCGGCAACTTTAAGACTTAACACCCTCACTTTCAGCAGGGTTGGAGTTAGTTAGCCCGGTAGTTTTGAATAACTTTGTAAATAGAGTTGGCGATTGTCAGAAGTTAAAAATTCTTCGAAAACTATTCAACTTGCCTATTCAAATTTAATAGTGCCTATAAAAGACTAATTCGGCAGATCTTTACTCTATCTAGTAAGTATGTACTTTTTTACAGAGAACACTAATTGGTGAATAAATATGTCAGCATAATGTAAGTAGCCCTATGAAAGAACGGGTCTGGTGTATTAGCAAAACAATTATTTTAAACATGTGAAGTATGAATCTGATAACAATCACTTAAGTAGGTATGTTACAAATACGGGTATAGAAAGATCAAATTCAATTGAGAACTTTCAATAACTTTACCGCGGTATGGTACATTAACATTGTGAAACATCAATTTATTAACAAAAACACTCTATTTACATATAATTTGAACATATTAAAATATCGACAATTTCATTCCTTTCCTTTTTTATATCCTAGATGAATTGGTCGATCATCAGGTAAAACTTACTAGAAGTGAAGTGAATGTACAGGAACTTTAAAAAGCGAATGAGTTATAATTGAGTCCGAATAATTTCTTGAATGGTAAAGATTTTAACTTAAATGATATGTAAAATTTATCAATTCAGTGTGTGATATGTAACAAATGCCAATTGAAAAAGTAATATAAGTAAAAGTTTGAAACAGTCGATATTTTAATGTGCTAATCAACATTGTGCAACAGCTGGCAAACCTTTTCAAATACTAGAACAACGTTTCACGGGAGTGAGATGCACGGTCCACTCGCAAAGGCAAAACCTCGGGGCGACTCGATAACTCCGTGCATTCACCGATACCCGCCGCTTCACACCCACCACTATCTGTCGAAAACTGTTCCACTTCATCGTCTGTGGAGTCATCATCATCTTCAGCAAATACTGAATCTGCACCAATGGATGCTAATTCACACTCAACTGCGTAGGACGGCCCTATGCTTCCTACAGACGCTAACGGCGCAAGACGCTCGCTCGGACAAGGAGATAAACGTCGCTCAGGCAATGCGCAAACCACAGATGATCCTCGACGCTCCAAATACGAACTTCCAGAACTAGAGCACGTTGCTGAGCTTAAACGACGGTCTCTAGGGCCACCAGAAGCTCGTCTTTCAGCAAAGCGCAAAGCTGAGCCAGGCAGCGATTCGCCACGGGGAGTAGATAGGCGACGCGGTGGAGTGAGCAAACTTCCATAACCTCCACCATATGACATGAAGCGTGCTGTTCGTGGCCACGGTGGCTCCTCTCCAATGGAAGGTCTGGATCTTGCACGCTCTGATAATGCTTCTTCTAAAGCTGCAGTTAGTTGTCGTTCTTCTTCAACCGCCTCTTCCTCAGCAACTACAGCTTCTGCCAATTCGACTATTTTGGGATCATTTAGAGCCTTGACTGACTTGCTTCGACTCTTATAAACAATCAGGAAAACCATTAGCGCAAAAAAGCCGCCGAGAGTAGCGGCTATGCGCACACCGGTCATGACGTCATAAGTAGCATAGAACTCAATGCGTACACGTTGACGATCGGCCTCTGAAACTTCGGTAATATTTCCAGCTGCACCCAACTCTCCTCCGCTCCAACCATCTTGCTGATCCATTGCACGATCACAGGTTCATCGCCTGAAACAAGTATTACAAAATAATAGGCACAGTAACTTATCAAAAGGGTTTTATGAGAGCTTTAGATAAAGGGCGAACTTTTATGATATAAGTATGGAACTTATATATTCATTTCTATTGTACGAACAACAGCGCATCAGACTACACATTTTTGTTCGAAAATCGCCTCCAGTGCAACGGAACAAGATACGTCAATGTGTAGCTTGATGTGCTGTTTAATGTTGCTGTACAATGTTGTGCGTCAACTTTACATTAAAAATATAATATTCGTTCAGTAGGCAGTCAACTGAAAGACTAACAATGTTGTCAGTAGGCGATTTCCGTTCACTAGCTGTAGTACTCGCCCGCCCGCACGGCGTATCTGGGCCAGAGTAAACACAATAATGAAGGTAATATTAATTCGAGAGTATAAAAACACTGAAACCAAAGTTAATCTTTCGTTACTGCATCAGTAAGTTAGAAGATCACTTAAAATGTTTATAATCGTAAACTAATGAGAAATGTTGAAATTTTATATTATGTTCTTAGATCATGAGCACCAACATTGACGTATCAAAATATCGAGTGTTAAAAAGAGAGAAAAAGAGCCGTTAATCACGAAATTATTTTTCACAGTTCATTTAAATTATTTCAAGGGCTTGCCAATACGATGTTTTATCGAGTAAAAGGAAATTGTTTTGACTCTCTTCGTGACTCTATTAAGTACAGCCATTAGCATCTTTAATCGCAACAGCGAACGCGGGTCATGGTCGAAGAGACTTTAGTGTAAATGCAAAAGTTTCTACTTTAATGTGTAACAGTAGATAAATATTCGTATATGTATATAATCTAAATTTCTCATTAACACTGGAGGAAAAATAATTGACTACGTGTTTACAATTTTATTGATCTTCTTGAAGGTTGATGCTGAGTTACGATTTCATTAACATCGTTCTGGATTTCGGATACTTACAATGTGGTGTAATTAACGGTCAAATTCCCGTTTACCACACAATGGAACTAAATATAGCATCACAGGTGAAACATTCGAACGTTTATGGTTAACTGTTCATATCATTACTTATGCTTGCACTACGTCGCGATCGACGCTTACAACTTGCAACCCAGCTTCCCGCAAACAAAGAAACTAGGTGACCATGATTGTTGTCTAGCATAGAACAAACAATTTAATACAAGGTACGACGGTAGTATGATAGAGTTTTTTTTTTGCGGTAATACATATACGTATGTAGGTACTGTAGATTTTAATTCTTGTTGAAGTGTATAGGTATTGTTTTACACGCAGTGAAATCGCAAAGTATTTTGTAAAAGTATACAATTTTTTGTCATCATTCCTTCTTATGTCACTCAATGCTTCCATACACTTGCATTGTAATAATTATAAATATTAGCATCGCATAAAACAACATACTAAATTTAAAATATATATATATTTACGCTAATATGGATCATCATCATCAACTTATTTCTATATCCCAAAGCTGGGCCTCTTTCAGGTGAGGGTTTAGGCCATAGTCCGCCATACTGGCCCAATGCGGGTTGAAGATTTCATACGTTTTCCGAGGGTTGTGAACCTTCTTCGACGTGCAGGGTTTCATCGCGATGTTTTCCTTCATCGAAAAGTTCATGGTGAATTTCAAATTAAATTTCTTCTTCATATAAATTATAAGAAACTCAGAGGTGCGAGCCCGGATTCGTACCCGCGGCCTCTGCTCGAGAGGCGGTACGTCCAACCTACTACTACGATTTAATATGGATATAAACTCAAAAAATTGGAAAACGAATTGCAGTTCAGAGACACTTTCAACATTATCTTCAGTGGAAATGTAACAATATTATAACAATGCGCCTGCTGCCTCCTGCCGAGCGCCGCATCGATCGATGCTCATTCTACCATTTATACGAAAATGTATCAATTCAGTTTAAAGTGCTTTTTATTTTGTTTTGCTTGTTTTTGTAACTGCGCCGCGCCGTGATGCCATGACTTGAGTATATAAATATTATGATGAAGATATTTTATGTTCCAATAGTTTTTTTTTAGATTTTCTGCACAAACAGACAAAGGAATTTTGTTTTCCAAATTTTAACTTCTTTCTTGTTCTAATACTTATAAGTTTAAACAACGCAAATAGAGGTTTGCAATCAATCTACTTAACTTTTCTCATATGCATGCTTATGCCCAAAAAAAATTTAACTGCATGTTTTCAATAATCTTATTTACACATAAAAATTAGACATACAAAATCAATTATCTTCACAACCAGTCAATTCAGAATTATTTTTACAATTTTACAGTCAATGTTTAAATTTTGTCTGTATTACAAGAAGTATTATATTCCTATTACAGTCCTACTAAAACATTAATAGGGATAATATTTACTCAAAAAGACCTATTATTATCATATAAAATTGTCATTAAAATTTTCATGTGATATATAAGTTCTGATATTGATTATACAAATAATAATAATGCATACAATACTACACTACAGGCCAGAAATAACATTTGGCACTTGGGTTTTGAGATTTTTACAATAACAAGCTGGTGAACATTTGGAAATAAATTTAAGATGAGCTGGTAAATTTTTAAAGAGAAAGAAAGTGAGAAGTAACTGCCTACTAATATGTGAGTAAAAAGGAGAAATCTAGCTATGTATTTTTCCATTAAAAACCATTTATTTCAACACACATTAATTACGTAATAAAGAAAATGAGACTATTTAAAAACATAAAAAACAAGATTTAAAAGACCTGGGGCCAGTCTCAGCATTCACTGAGCAGCAGAAGTCGCTCAGCACTGGTTTTCAGCCTGTCTTCGACCTTTGTGAACACATTTGTATTTTCAGCCTATTTCACTACTTAATACTAATCTACTACATAATCGTTCATAATGGTGCAAAATTAAATTTAAAATAAAAAAATAGAGATATAACCATTATATGCTCAATCATAAACAGCTAAATCTGAATAATTTCATAAATAAATAATTTCATTGGTACTAAATAAATTTTAGTGAATATTGTTAATAAATATTTTAGGTTTATTTTTGTTTTGGTAATTTATTTAACTTTTTTTACCAGATATTTATTTAACCAGATAATTTTATAAATTTCTTATTTTTATAGAAACTATCACTCACTTTCATTTTATTCACAAAAAAATATTTAATTGTTATTAAATTATTATACAAATACGTTAACACAAAATTACAATACATCTATAGTGTAACTATACCCAAAATGTGGTAAACACGTACCAAACCCAGCTACAAACCTAATTTTAGAATATAAGTAAATGTAAAATCACGTAGTAGTGAAGAACTGAAGAGTAATAGAGATATTTACCAGCTGCAGAGCATGATTCGTAGCCCGAAGAAATTGACGAATGGCGTGAGCGACGATGATTTATTATGCACATGTCCTTGGCAAAATGTAATAAAAATCCAGACACCCATTCATCGAAAACATCCACAACAATAACTTCTACATCGCGCAGATTTCAGAACAATTTGCTTGTAATTAATTGCACCAAAATGTCTACAAATTAAATTACACTTGCCATTTCCAATTTAAAAAAAACTCTATTTACCGATTGATCACATCGCACTTTTAATACAAAATATTTTTACTTATTGCTTAAATATAATGAAAAAATCGTTTTTGCAAGATAAAATTCACAAGCTTCTAGTGACAGTGACAAAATTTACGAATTCAGTGAAAATTCCATGAAAATTTGTGATTTTCGTTTAAAGTGCGTTCAAAATAAACTCAATTCCCTATGGTTTTAAAAATGACAATAACACACGCGATACGCGTATCCGAATTTATGAAAAGGCTAGCTCTTCGGGGAGGGTTTTTTTCATGTCATGAAAAAAATTCCATGTTTTAGAAATCATATTTTTCAGAAAATAAATATTTTCCCGGATATTTTTCCACATGTGACGTTGACATCTGTCAAAAGTTGAAGTTCCTGAACGAAAATGATGGAGCCAACAACAAAATATACTATGATGGTGGTGTGATAGTCGGAAGTTTTTTGTGTGAAATAATCATTGACTTACAAATAAAGAAATAATTTTAAATCTCATTTTATAATGGGTGACTTTTAAATAGAAGTTTATTTTATAATTTACGTTATGTAAAACTTCATAATATATTTCTAAACAAAGAACATAATATGAGCCTTTCAAACTATATTTTTCTGATTTTTCAAATCTCTAGGTTAAAAAATAAAAAATAATAGCAGTCGTCAACAGATTAGACGAGTTTTCGCCAATTTAGGCTACTTCGAGTGACCGTCAGGATGGCTGGTCACCTGTGGCGTCTGGCAGTGTATATTCAAGAATTGCTACCTGTTTGCTACCTTTTCTAAATAATTGCTACCTATGATATATTCTGAGAAATTTAAAAACATTTTTGACCAGCCAATCTGACGTCGCTGGTCATTGTCACCAAACACTACTTAAACCAGAAACATAAATATTAAACTCAATATTACCAATAGCAAAACCTTTGAATCCTCAGATAAATTAAACTAAAATAACTTGATCCACTTATGACAAATGACACACATATTGCGTTATGATGGTTACATACCCTCTCGGTTTTATACATTAGCAATCTCACCAGACTAGTTCATCTCGAAGTAATCGTTCAACGCCTGCCCTTTATATTATGGCAATAAAGCACTAAAAACTTTTACTTTTTTAGTTTAGTCAGACACTTTTTCGCAATATTTTCAATCGTTTATATTTTTTTATTAATGTAGATATGAAGCGTATACCTTTACTATACATACTTCTGGAAAAATCTGCTCTCTTCATACTAAACAAAGAGGCGACCAGCCATCCTGACGTCAGAATGGCTGGTCAACATTTTTTTTTATTTCTCAGAATATATCATAGGTAGCAATTCTTGAATATGCACTCAGTGCCAGGTGCCAGGGTGCCACAGGCGACCAGCCATCCTGACGGTCAGTACTTCGAGGGGTCGTGCGGCGACTCGGCAATATTTAGGCTATTTTTTAGAGATTTTATGGTTTGGGCGAATATCGGCTACTTAATATACATAAAATGGCGAATTAACGTCGCAAGTCTGTCAACACTGATTGTCACACGTCAACGTCATTTTATTAACTATTTTAGTTGATCACCACAAATTATAAAGATATAGTAGCACGTCTTGAATGGAATTCCCGCTCTAACTTTAAGAGTTGAAAAGTAAAGTGGACTGAAATATATCGATATAAAATTGCAATTTTTCTATTATAAAATGTCTGACGAATGGCAGACTTACCGAGATGATACTAGAACGCCTTGTAAGTACGGTAGAAATTGCTATCAGCGAAACCCACAACATCACTCAAGCTTTAAACATCCTCCGAAGAATTTAAAACGGAAAAATGAGAATTACAGGCCAAATAAAAAGAGGTATAAGCTTACTGCTTCACCTAGAAAAGATGTAAACGATACCAACAAGGATCTTGACCACAGAGATACCCAAGGTGACATAGGTAGTGTTGATCAAAAGACGAGGTCAAATGAAGATAATGCTTCCACATCTAAAACAGATCTCGACAAAGGCTCTTGTGACGATAACATTGTTATAAAGTTCCCAGAAATCCTATTATATCACGATAAAAGTGACCACAATCTTTTTAAGGAGTTGTTTTTAGTGGAAATGCCAGAGGACTTTTTTAAATTTTATAAGTGTCTAGAAGAATTAGAGTCATTTGAGAAAGTACTATCAAGCGTAAATTTAGAGCTCATTGGCCCATACGATTTGCTACTTGGAAAATTGCCCATATTAGACAATAAAGACTTGTACTTAGTGCACTGGAGATTTTTCTATGATCCTCCAGAGTTTCAAGTAAGTATAGTAAACAATGTTCTGATATGTTAGTAATTATAATTCCATGTCCTTTAATGGGATCCTTGATGGCTGTAAAGAGGAAACCTATAAGTTAAAGTGGTATTAACAAATTTTTGTGTACTGTAATAAATAATTACAATTATGAAAAAATAAATTTATTTTAGCGAGACAACTTATATCTGCAGGTGCAGTTTCTACAAAAACTATATGAACTCTTCAATACATTTAAATGGCATAGAACTTATTTATATAGTATATTAACTGCCTCTGTGGCTGAACAGTCACCATGCTGTTTATTTCTCTCGTGAGTTTGGGTGTAATTTGTGGTTGTCTATGTGGGAGTCCATGGCACCTGCGACACAGGGTTTCCCTAGTGCGGGGCTATGTTGAATGTGTGCGTGTGTGTTACCTTTCCCAATTTCTCAGTCTTTTTCTATCAACAAGTGAAACTGGACCAATACATCCTGTTATGTTATTTCTGCCAAAAACTCGCTCGCAATGGCTATTAATATCAATTGTGAGATCGTGATATCTATTAGTGGCAATTATTGGTGCAATTCGACAGCTGTGAATTCAAATCTTGTCTCACTGGAGACTCGCTTTAGACCATGTGATTACATTTATTACTTTATTATAGGCAATATTAAAAAAGAATGGCAAAAGTGAGTACCACATTGGTTACTTCCGGGATCATCCTGACAAGCCTCCACAGTTCCTTGCTAGCTGTGACAGCAGTAAAGACTGCTCCATCACACCTATGGCCAAGAATATCTTCGCAACCATTTAGTAAGTAAATACCTGAGAGTTAGACTATTAACTGCCTGAATATCACTAGCATCATGAATATTCATGAAGCAGTTCTTCCCAGTTAAAATATTGGCATTTCAGTGGAAACTGTTACAACAAAATGCCAGATTTATTGCGTAACATACATAAAAAAAGTCAAATTGAAAACCTCCTTTTTGAGTCGGTTAAAAAAGGGCATTATTTGCATTATTTTAATAATTGGCAATCTGTCTCACTACCGCTACACATGTCTCTCAACCCTGACATTGGCAAAATCGTCGCGCAAAACGACGGAGCCATAGACACAAAAGTTGAAGTTGAAGTTGAACAAATAATGCCCTAGCAAATAATTTTGTACAAACGTGAATGCAGTCATAAATGTACTGTGTCCTATACCATGTGTGTTTTTTATTTCAGTCGATTAATTAGTACATTCTTCCCAGCCTATATTTACAGAACGAGAAAAACACTTCTCCATTCATGTCAATAGCATGTCAGAAGCTTATGGACAAAGTAAAAAAATGGGCAGAGAACCATGGTTACCCCCTTGAAAAGTATGACATGAAGGAACGCCAAGCTAAAATTCAGACCAAAACCTTCCATGGAGCAGGGATAGTAGTGCCATACAACAAACGTACACAACTAGGGTACAGGAATTTAGTAGAAACCGATGGCAAGTGTAGATTATTCATTTAATTATCATCATCATCTTTATTCACTTAATTATAATACCAATTAATTAAAGAAAATTGTAATGCCCATTATTGCTGTGACAGAAAATAGGTGGAAACCTTAATATAATGTGTTTAACAATCTTGTATGGAACTGAGACTTACTATGTATTAAAGGCTTTTATTATTTGGTTATATTACTTGGTTGGGTGGTGTCTTATCAGAATAACATTTTTTATTTTCAATTATTTTCAGGAAACTTAAAGAAAATGTTTTCAAAATTGAAATCAGCAAAAACTCAAAAGGAGAAAGATGACGTATTATCAGATTTGCAGCCTGTGATTACATATGCAAATATTGCAGTAGATGAGTGTGATTTTGGGACAGGATTGGAGGCTGGTATAAACCTCTTTTGTTCAGGGATCCGAGAGCTGGAAGCCAGTGCTTTGAGTAGTCTGCAAGCTGCTTACTCTCTTTTAAAAAGGGATGAATTTGCCAAAATCTTGCAGGTGTGTAATCTCTATTTGTTTGAATAACTTTTATGCTTGAGTTTTTACAACATTCCCTTTGATCTTTTTAAGTCCCTTTTAAGTACTTTACCCTTGTAGTAACATTTCAGCACTATCTCGGAAATTAGTTTTCAGCTCCTTGTTAAGGTCTATCCACACATACCAGGGTCGGACATGCGAATCAGCTGCAGTGCTCGGGCCGACGCCGTGACGTGCGTAGATGCGCCGATATTTTCATTGCACGTTCTTTTTTTTTTCTTAAAACTGGACGGCAGACGGCCTATCCGCGATCCAGTCACGTCCCTGACGTGTGTGAACAGGAAGACCCTGACGGGACATGGACGTTCCGTGCACGGCCCCGATATGTGTAGATAGATCTTTAAGGTAAGCCTAACCACAACCTATTTTATGAATACATCATTATTGTAACTTTTGTTTCAGGCTCATTTAAAATACCGGCGTAAGGGCCCCAATTTGTCAGTATTAAGTATAAATGAAAAATAATTAATAATGTCTGTGACATGTTTTTTAACGATTTTGGATAATGTTAAATCATTTCATACAAAGGGTATATCAATATTAAGTAGAGCAACTCATTTTATGGCTGCAAGCTCTCTGGCATAATTTTGTTCTGCAAAACTTTACGTTACAGTTAAAACATTGCATTAAAATGCGAAATTTTTGAAATCCAAACTTACAAAACGCTGAAGGGATATAATTATAGTATTCGCCAAGTTTTTATGTGTGCGTGCACTTAGTACACATATCGCACTTGCAAATGCAGTAAAGGTTTAGTAGTAGTGGTAAAACAATCCAAAACGCGTCCTGGAATTTCTAAGAAAAGATAAAAGTTGCAGCCCCAAATTTGGTTGAGGACCTAATCAATCTGGGAAATTATTAACTTTACACTAAATTATTGTTTTATTACGTACGAAAGTAGTACCAAATAATCATATAGTAGCTTAAAGTATTGTTGAAAGAAACTATCATATGTGCAGTATTGTTTAAAGTCTTACAATTGTTTTTCATTGAAGCCCTCAGTTCACATGGAGGAAATTTCCTTGTTAGCAATGTGCACACACACATACACTTTCTGGCAAAGAGTTTCCCTTTGGCTCAACACAATAAACAAATTGGGTTTTTAATCGTCATTAGTAATGCAAAGGGAATTGCGACCCAACAGGGGCAACGCTTTAATGTAATTTGATTTTTGTAATTTACAAGATTAAAGTAAGTAAAAAGTAAAGGTGCGAAATTTTAAGACATTAGTATCGGTATACTCTTTCCATTATATCCTATACATACAACTATTTTATACCCAGAAATTAAAGACATAATCTACATATTGTGTTTATTTCTTACATTATATGGATGATGCAATTGTATTAATGTCGAACTCAAAATGAGGAATGAAAAAATGTCCAACTTAGCACTAAAAGCGTGAAGGAATCATCTTACATGTCAATTTCCAAAACTAGCATATAGCCATTGTAGTAGACTGCCTACTAGTGAGATGTTCATTTTGAGGTTAATAGGCACTGGGGTGACTAATCAATTTCGTATAGTGGAGAATATCACCAGATCGCAGTTAACAACAAAATGCCTTAAGACAGTTTACTCCTTCGGCTTGTCGGCACTGGTAAGGTGGAGAAACAGCGAAATCGGGCAATGATCGCTGCCGTACACTTGATCTCTGATCACATTGTCGCACACAGAAGGAAGAAGCCGCTCCGATACTATGAAGTAGTCCAAGCGCCTGAAACAAGATACTCTATAATATTGTGTGTCTGGCTGTGTATATATATGGCTTTCCATATTCAGTACGTCCCCCGGAGGTGAATTAGGAACTCATCCCCTATTGGATGTCCTAAATACAGTTTTTAACGGCTTAAACTCTACGCCCTTCCAGCTTGTGAGTATCTTATTCGGGGCTTCGGGGGGACATAGTGTGCAATATTTGAGTTTAGGCTCTTAGAAGAGCGTACCTAACTCGTTGCTCCTTGGGGAACGTATTGAATACGGAAAGTCATGTACACTGTCTGGCTAGGCATTTGTTTTAAACGTTATAATTTCGTATACAATGACCTCGTTGGGTGGGTCTTCATAGTAAATGCAGATCTTTGTTTGTGGTGGTGTGCCTGCTGAAATTACTTTTTAAACCCATTTTCTAATTATCAATACAAAGACCGAACACTCTAAGTTACTTCGATCCGGCCGGATTCGAACCGACATCTTCTAGCTTACCGTGTCAGACGCTATACCAAGTAAGCCATGGAACGAATCAGCGGACCTCACGAATTTTTATATGTGCTTGCATCGTATCTTTGTATTTGGTTTTTTCAACGACTTTTTAGTAATTATAACAAACTAGTGGAATAATTTCACAAAAAAATTGAATTAAAATTTAAAACCATTTTCTTGTTTTAGATTTTGTGATAATATGTATGTATACTTGTGTAGCAATTCCTCATTTTCATCTGTCCATTATTTTCTACAATTTTATTATTCCAGTTTACATAGCAATACGAGGCAAAATCTTACCAGCCCACATTCTTAGATCGCGCGTTCATCATATAAGTCCAGAAAGTATAAGCGCCAGTCTTATCGGGGTACAGGTGGCGGTAAGTGTCAACAAACCCGTCTCCGAGAAGTTCCGTCATACCTGCTCTTTCTTCTTCAGTGAACCCAGCATTTTTTTTGTTTGTCTTCGGGTTCGCTAAATCTGAAAAAAAAAGTCGAATATGGCGAATTTATTTTAAGTAAACTACTCAATAGTTACTTAAACTACAATTGACATTGGCAAATATTAATAAATCGATCATACCTATTTCATTGTGTGCAACATTCATGTCTCCACATATTATCACAGGTTTCTTCTTATCTAATTGCTGAACGTGTTTACGGAACTCCTGATTCCACTGCAGTCTCTTAGGGAGCGTGATTAGTTTGCGGCCAGCGTTCGGCACATAGGTACAGATCAGATAGAATTGCTCATACTCGGCTGTGATAATGCGACCTTCAGTATCCAATTCTTCATTTTGGAGACCATACTGAACGTTTATGGCAAGCTGTGATGTGTAAATGCCTACGCCTGCGTACCCGTCTTTATCACTAGCTAGCCAGTATGCGTGGTATCCAGGCAAATTAGCTATCTCATCTGGAAGCTTTTCCTGTCCACATTTTAACTCTTGAAGACAAAGTATATCTGGTTTTTCGTATTTAATGTAATCCAGTCCACCTTTGCCCATCCAAGCCCTGACACCGTCAACATTCCAACTGGCAATTTTGAAATTCCATTCTTTTCCTTGCAGACTTTTTGATGGATTTGAAAAATCAAGTTCTTCATAATTTGTAGTGGCTTTATTTTTAGGCGGGGCTTTTGTTTTAGTGTCAGCAGCAGCTGAAAATTTAAAGTCTTTTGAATTCTCCCTCTTCCATTCTAATCTAACATTCATGCACGTAAATTGTTTCGATTTAGTTAATTTTGTGTTACTACTCTTTTTCCAGACTTTCGTTTGATTTTTCTGTGCAACAAACCTTGACTTAATCTTCATTTTATTTGTAAAGCCAGGATTTACCAATATTATTTCATTTTGACACCAATGTCTTGTAGATAACTAGATTTTATTTTTAAGTTATCTGTAACCATCGAGTATATATGCTCGATGTCTATAACACTTATTTTATACTATCGAATATATTGAAAGATAATTCACGATCATGTTCCACTACTACTACCATTGTGTTAGTGATCCCAAAGTTAATATTGTTTGCTAACCAAAAAGTGCGTTGTTGCAGTTATAAAGGGATTGTTAATACTTGCATAGTTCTCTTCACCAATGTTCAGATTGTAAAAACATAGGTATAATAAATAAAAGCAATGAACATAAATATTTAGTAAATCGTTTATTTATTAATTAACTTAAACACAATTTTAATAAGAAATAATCAACCCTCCTTCAAGATATTAAAAAAATTGGTCATCGGAGCTAGTTACCCTTGTCTTCAGCAGGCTTGCGCCGGCGCTTGTTGGTTGGTTCGCCTGTATCCTGGGGTTCATCTTCCACCTCAGCCGGCGTTTCTATCGCCTTCTTCTGACTGCGCTTACCCTTTGTACTCTTCACTTCTGGAATTTCTTCATTTGCTTCCTCTTCTTTAGCGTCACCTGAAATGTTTGAACATTGTTGACACTCTTTACTAAAATTACGTTACCTTCGCTTTTGAAGTTCGTGGAGCCATTGTATTAGTTGTACTTTAACAAAAAATCAATGTTTGAACATTGTGTAGGTACACTCTTTATGGAAACTATAATATAAACACAGCCCAGCTAACACGATAGGGCGCGAGACACTACGCGAAAATAGTAGTATCTCGTTCTTTGTCGCTCTCGCGTAAAACGCGCCCTATCGTGCTAGCCCAACAGATCACAAGCGTCTATGAAACTTAAAACTATTCTCAAATGTATACAATGGCTAAGAAATATCCTAGTAATGGAGGCCCTGTACTATACTAAACTTATTCCATTAGAAACATGAAGTTAAAACAAAATCTGGTAAATAAACCTACCTTTTCTTTTGTCATCTTTCTTAGTAACTTTCCGTTTCTTTGAGGCCGATTCTTTTACATCTTCCTCTTCAACATTTTCCTTTTTGTCTTCAACCTCTTCTTTGGCTTGTGCTTTCTTCCCCTTACGGCCTTTGGCCCCTTTTTTCTTGGGCTCCTCAATCTTATCTTCTCCATCAGAGAGCTCTTTCTCACTTTCAGGAGTCTTTTCTTTCTTGCCTTGACCCCTCTTCTTGCCTTTGGCAGATTCTGACTTTTCTTCCTCTTCAACATTATCAGTTTTGTCTTCTTCAACTTCAGCCTTAGCTTGAACTTTGCGCCCTCTTCCTTTACCCTTAGATTTCTCCTCATTGAGTTCTTTCTCATCAGTCTCCTCACTAGCTGGTTTCGCCTTTCTACCTTTGCTAGCTGTTTCTTTTGGTTTCTCATCTTTTATTTGTTTTTTGCGTCCTCGACCAGTGGATGCAGGTTGTGTATCTTCTGCAGTCCCATTACTTTCAACCTGGTCATTATTTTGTTCCACATGAGTAGTTTCCTCATCAGTTGAATTGTCACCATTAGATGTTTTCTCATCAGTAACCAGTTCATTTTTTTTCTTGCCTTTCTTGGCTGGTGGTGGAGCATTATCAGTCACACCATTAATATGTGCCTCTCCATTTGTCTCTTGAGCCTTCTTTCCGCGTTTTGCCTTTATCATTGGAGCAGCTTTGTCAGCAATGTCAATATCTAGTACTTCTTGTTCATTTGCCTCATAGTTTTTAGACTTACTCTTGCCCTTCTTTGGTGCTTCGCTTTCAGCCATTTTAATGTCAGCAGACTTCTGTGAAATGAAGATTATCATCAAAACTGTACCTCAATAAATAATGAGTGTATAACTAAAATGGCTTTAAAATAATAAGGAATTATTCTAATGCACATAAATGACAACCTTCTTTGCCACTTATGAGGTAATGAATTAAATAAAGCTCACTAGTAAAATATTGAAATGTTAGCATCATATTGATAATAAAATGAGTAAATGCGAGACAGGAACAAAAGTAATAATGTTATTGTCCCAAAATCCATGTCTGTCCAGTACAAGAATCGTTAACAAAAAAAACCATTTCTGGGTGGATAAAAAATTATGTTGACAATAGGGCGCAATTCAACTTACACACATGCACTGTTGCCATGTGGTTTGTTGTAATAGAAGTTTAATTTACATTTGGCGTAAATTTAGAAACAACTACTACAAGAAAATAAGTAAGTTAACATAATAAAAAAAATTGCTTGTACTTATTATACAGATTTAGTTTACTTTTGGTGTAAATTTATCAATAAGACTTATTACTACAAGAAAATAAATGTGCTCACAAAAAAATGAAAAAATCATATTATGTCCTTATGTCCCTCATACTGAGGTGTATCTGAATCACCAATCAGTGAATTGATGATATGATTTTTGAAATTTTTAACCCAATCAGCTTTAAAAATTATTTTTTCAATTTGTAGGTTTCTTCGGGATTTTGTTTTGTAACTCGATCTGCATGTATGAATTGTACTTTCACACATTTCCTAACATCAATGGAAGCTACGAAAGTTTTGACCTGAAGATTTCACGCTTTTATATAGATTTCACGATTTTTAATACACCATTATTATCTTAATGATGATAAAAAATACTTCAAACTAACAAAAAAATTTGAATTAATTGAGTTAAAACATAGTTGATTGAGATTAAAAATTTCCTGCATTGTGGGTGTAGGTAGGAAGTGCATTCCTGTTGGAGACCGTAATTTTGGAAACCTGTTCATCACAATCACTGTTTGATTAACTCAATTAAATAAATATGAAACGATTTAGATACAAAAAAAATTTTTCACCTCACTTTCTTGGAAAGGCTTTTTTTCTCATTAGAAATCTGCGTCAAAAAGCGTTTTTTCCACACTGGCGTGGAAAAAGATTTTTGAAATTTTCGCTCATTCCCACTTTTCACCCCTGGCGATAAATGAGAAAGAAACCCATAATTTTCCACTTTAGTAGTTTGGTCATTCCAGCGAAAATAACACCGCGGTCCAATATTTCCATCCAAATTACACAATTTGGTTTTAATTGTATGACTAGAATACGCCCAATAAATCAAATAATTAGAAATAAATACGATTTTTGGGATATTGTACAATTATTCTATTGTTTTTCTTCATTAACGCAGCCATAGTGCAATCATCTTTAGTGAAGCACTTTTTCCTATAATATTAGCAATAATTATAGCGATTATTTGTACATCTTTCGAAATAAGTTATTACTGTCGAAGAAAATACAATTTACGAATTTTAAAACAGTGATAAGTGATTGCATGGAAGTATGTATGGTGAAGAGTTATTAAAGTTTCAATAAATACAAATTTCAAGTCCCACCTGTCACAATGAAACATATATATTTTTATTTTAACCAATAAATATGCAATCTATTGGCATTTAACTGCCTCCGTGGCCGAACGGTTACCATGCCGCATATACTGCCACACAGAGGTCCCAGGTTCGATTCCCGGGCCGGGAGAAATAGTTGTATGGCCTACAATTATTTCTCTCGTGAGTTTGGGTGTAATTTGTGGTTGTCTATGTGTGTGTCCATGGCATCCGCGACACAGGGTTTCCCTAGTGCGGGGCTATGTTGAGTGTGTGCGTTATTTATTTATTTATTTGCTTCTGTAAAAGTAACAATTTTAGTAAGGGTCATTATTTTGGCTTGGTTGGGCATTGTGCAGAAGATTTGGAAGTGAATGTTTTTACTTTGATCAAAAGTTTGTATTTTCATGGATTCGAGTTTTTACGATGTTTGCTAGGTATAACAGTTGCTTTAATTTTGGATTTTAACATTTGATGTGTTGGGATGTGCACCATTTTGTGACACTTGACGTGAGGTAGGACAAATTACATTTGAATACATAGATTTTTTTAAAATACACTGTTTATATGTAGATCTATAATTTGTAAGGAACTATTTTGTAATTTTTCTCATAATTAAGATATTTTAACACATAAAAAAAAAAACAATTAAAAACAGAACATTTTTCCTGTTGTTTTTTGGTATCAGGATGGATATTCATGAAGTCTCAACATGTTTTAACTACATATTCAAGTAAAATATGATAAATTTTGATATGGTACATACATTGACTTACATATAAATGGATGACGGGTCTAATACAAAAACCACGAAAAAAATGTCCCAAGTCAACCTATTTAAACGTAGTACATGTAAAGGAATATGAAAAAGCTAAAATGTTGAATTTAAATTGTAATGTCATCGCAGTACTGTCTAATTTTGCTTGCTTCGCTCTCAGTCGAACAAACAAAGACAAAAGCGTGAATGACGCAATAGTACGATTTTAACTCTGTATACGATTTTAACCCCCTATAAGTTCGGACACTTTTTAGCGCGGACCCGACGTCCATATAATTGTAAGTCAATGGGTACATACATAATAATAGGATATGATACGTAATCTTAGAGTATGCCGCAGAATTTTTCAAATTTGTTAACGCATTTTACATGCGTGATTTTGATTTCATGTTGTCTTGTTCTCTCTGTTTCCGTTTTGTTTTTGTGCTAAAATGTCTTAATAAGAAAAAAATTATAAAATATTTGCTTACAAACTGTGGATCTTATATTACAGTGTAATTTTATTAATTCTGTGTATTCAATTGTAACTTATCCCACCCATCACAAAATTGTGTCCCACCCGTCACATCTTTTAACTTTCTACTATTAATTTCCTTAACATTTATCAAAGTTATTAATGAAATGTATATATAAAATAGAATTTTAACATTCAAATTATCACATGTGAAAAACTTGCTGAACCTAATATTAATAGTTGGTCTTGATCTTGGCAATGAAGGCATTAACTCAAACAGGCGAGTGTCTTGAGTGTCTCACCCATCACACTTACAAAATTAAACATTTTCGAGTATAAATAAGGTCATAAAATTATGTAAATAAATAGTCGCGGTTAATTGCATATCTGGCTTCATGATATTTTCATTGTAAGTCCAATTAACCAATGGTCAGGGAGAAATTACTTAAAGTTCAACAAAAAAGAAGTCAAAATGCCCCACCTGTCAGTTTGGAATGGCCCTGTTACAACAGCTGATTATTATTTGAATGAATTATTTTATGCGTGAAACTACACTTCATACAAATTGAATTAGAAAACACAATCCCAAAGACATCTACGAATTGAAAAAAATATTTTTAGAGTGAGTGGATTGCAATTTTCCAAAAATCCATATAATAATCCCAACTCGAAAACTACGAAAATCCGACATACATGGGGGTGATATGGATAGCCCTCAAATAGGGACCTAAATTTTGCTTTTGGATTTACTTCTCTGGCCACCCTGTACTTATTTTCAACCAAAAACACCAGTAAAGAGTATAGCTCTCATTTAGACATACCGTAAATATCACCAATATTACATAGGGAAACATTTCAAATTACATGATTTTATGACAATTTCAGTTAAAAGCATTCACTGGTTTCCCGCCTAGCTGGCATATAATAACGGCGCTATTGATCCAGACTGTACACACCTACCAACCAAGCTGTTTATTTATGAACAAGCACGCGGCCAAGAATCTCACAATTGGTACCTGCCTTAACAAAATTACTATTGCAAATTCTTACCCTAACCCATTTAGCTTACCACAAGGGGCTTCCCAATGGTGTATTCCAAGTTAGATAATGCTAATACAAGATTAAATAAAATGCTCCCGAAATGTCCGTCATGGATAACAATGCAAACCAGTTTTGAACAGAGGATTTCCGTTGAAATTTAACACTATTTACTAAAATTACGTTACCTTCGCTTTTGCAGTTCGTGGAGCCATTGTATTAGTTGTACTTTAACAAAAAATCAATGGTTTCAGCAGAGAAACAATGAAAAAATATCGCAGCGAACACGATTTGCAACGGAGTCGGCGAGAAAGAAATTCCGCCTTTCCGGCAAATTGACAGCTAACGCCACTGGCGCCAATTTTGTCACAATTTTTTTAATTTTTGGATAATTCTTGAAAAAAAATTCTATACCACCACCATTCGACGTGTGCTTATTTGCCTATTATTGCCCATTCACAAAATACAGTATTATGAATGTAGATAGTCGTAGCGTGCAAGCCATCCAATGCAATGCAGCAATGCGTCCTGCGCGACTCCATACGGGAGCCATATACAGGATAGTGTGTGAACAGTCTCCTGCCTTGGAGATGAACTGCCATGTAGGTAGTGTGTGAATCGGCCGTTTAAAACGATAAGGAGGACTAGAGGTGGGCGTTTAAACGAAAAGCACTTAAAAATGTCTGCTTTTTAAAATAAGCGCATAAGCACGCTTTTCATTTTAAGCGTAAGCGTTGTTTTTAAACATAAGGTCTATGCGCTTAAACGTTTTTCTAAACGATTTTTTAAGAGTCAAACTAAGGGTCATATTCTAGAACTCTACTCAATGCTCAAGTCAGGATTTGAGTATGGTTTAAAGCACTCGAAATCATATTCAAGTTCCTTCCATTAGGGTCGTATTTCCAGTGCTTGAAATCATACTCAGATCCTGACTAGAATACGACCCTAGGGTCGTTTTCCAGAACTCTACTCAATACTCAAGTCAGGATTAGAGTATGGTTTAAAGCACTCGAAATCATACTCAAGTCCCTGCCATTAGGGTCGTATTTCCAATGCTTGTGTTTCCAGTGCAATCCTGACTTGAGCATTGAGTAGAGTTCTAGAATACGACCCTTAAAAGCGTTTAGGTGAAAAGCACTTTTACAAGCACGCTTTTTAAACGCACGTTTAAACGTTAAAAATTAAGCAGTTTTTTCCATTGCAACGGTTAACAGCTACAAAATTTAAACAAAATGAACGCTTTTAAACGCCAATGAACAAAATGTTAATATAATAATGTTATGTCATAATAAAATATAACTCGTTTTTTACCAAAAAAAAAAAAAAACTTATCTTAATACCTTTAATGGTCTACTCTTGCATTTCGCTATCAACATAACGTTGCAAGCTTTTTTTAACTTAAAAGTCTATGCGCTTAAACGTTTAAAAAAGCACACTTTTTTAATAATAACGTGTCAATGTTTAAAAAAAATAAGCAGTTTTTCCCATCTTGGAGGACTGCAATGTAGCCAGGATGATGAATGCACTTAAAGCTAATTTACCAGTGGCACAATAGCAGAGACACACTGCTGCGAAATAGTATGTTTCTAATAAAAAAAAAATAAAAACGTGTTCAATTGCCAAAAAAAAAGCTAAAAATTCAGAGATCTTACTTTTGAATTTATTTGCCAAGGCAAGAAAAAAGTATCGGTCTAAGTGGTGACAAAACGTTCAAAATGGTATGTATACTGTTCCAGGCCTCTAAGTAATACCACTTTCACACAACACGGTACACGTGCAGGAAATTTTGAATAATGCTTGTGAAGTTTCCTCAAAAGTTACACGTTACAGTTATGAATGAAAAAATAATTTATATTTACAATAATTAGTCTTTCATGTACAGCAATTGATTTATCTATTTGCCGTACTACAATCTTAAAGTATCTATGAACATTGCATCATACTTTTATAAAATAGTAGCACTGCACTCGTCACTATTATAGATCTACATTTTCCGTATCGCACTTTCCGATTGACCTTAGGACACCCAATACCTGTAGCACTTTTGGATCGTGATAAAAGTTATATTAATACCCGAAAGTGTGGGATAGTTTCATAGTAAAAAAATGCCATATTTGTCTATAAACGACAGCGTTTATTTGATTTGCGGCAATACAGATTAATGCCGCAAATCTCTGCATGAATGCTGAATCTAGTAGCAGTTGAGCTCCTGTGAGAGTTTCTCCATTGAAATACTGCAACTTTACCTATTTCTGTCCCCAAGCAGTAATATGAGCATTACTGTGTTCTGGTTTAGAAGGGTAGGGGTGATAGTGATTACACGTACATGGGACTTGTCAACTTATGTCTCAGGGTGACCGGCGCAATCGCAGTGCCTTTAAGATCTGTGCAATTTAAAACTTGCGAGGGGCACTGCAACTGTTATGGACAAGCGTGTTGCTTACCACTGGCACAAGGCTTGTTCATCCTGACACTTGGTATTATAAAAAAAATGTTGGATGAAATTACTGCCGACAAGTAAAGTGTTTATTTTTAAAATTTTTACATAAAATGTGCTTTTTTTGAAACTTGAGCATGTTTATTGAGAAATAGATAAAAATGTTTGATTATGTAATTATATGTTACAATGATAAGTAAGTTTCCAACATAACAAAAATACATTAGCCTTTATTTTTACATAATGGATATTATTTCATTTAGAGTTATTATCATAAATCTGATTAACTTCTGCAGGCAACATTGGACCGCAAAGGCACCTTTAAGGTGGAATATCTCCAAGAGATAGAGAAGAAGGTGCAAGACAGATGGGAAGCCGAGAAAATCTTTGAAATAGAAGCTCCGGACGATGGCAAGCCCCATGACAAATTCATGTGTACTTTTCCTTTTCCTTATATGAATGGACGATTACATCTCGGGCACACTTTTTCTCTATCCAAGTGTGAAGTAAGATATTATTTGAATTAAGACACAATCATAAAAAATAAATATAGATAATGAAAGATATGAATATTTAACCAATATTTTATACCCTTATATCTGTAGAGATGGGTGCAGATTTCCTCTAATGGGTGGTTATTATTTAAAGTTTTATTGAAATGGCAATACTTACAGAAGAATTATGTGTACACTATGTGCTTGCCAACATCGAATTTTACAATGGTGACAAAAACTTGAATTATTTTGTTATTGGAAGATAGTACACAATATAATATAGTAACAGTGGTTAAATTATTTCAAAAAAGTACTTACAACACAACTGAATAATGGCTTTGTTTTAATTTTGTCAACTTATGAGCTGGTTTCTTCAAATCTGTTTAGCAACCATTTGCCAGCTGTTAATTGACATAGGCCTCCTTTATGACTTTCTATGTATTGTAGTAGACTGCAATGTAGTAGTAAATTTTGGGAAGATCATTGTTCCACATATCAAAACTAGCCCTAGTCTCATCAGTCTCTGATTCATTTTTCACTTTGATGATATAGATATTCTCAGACTATCTGTTTTGTTTATATATACTTTGTGTATCTCATGATTGAGTCCCATCTCCATTTGAACATTGTAGCTTTATGGACATGTCACATACTTTTTCTCTAAAATCTATGAGTCCCCACCAGTAAGAAGTTTTGTTAGGTATCTAACTAAAAAGTTTAACGTACTAAAAAGGTACTTATTTAAGTGGTAGTTTGGTACCTAACATATCAATTCCAATTTTGTTCAGTATTTAACAACCGCAACATGGCTGGATATTCAGTTAAGGATTAAAGGTGTTTTTTTATATGGACCCAGAACCACCAAAGGATTAGTTAGAGCACAGAGCTATTACCTTGTTAAGTTAAGAAATTTTCATGATAGGCTGTTGTTGAACATTTGTGCTAATGCTTCTCTGGACTACTTTCATAGCGACAGGTTGTCCAGATGTAATTACAATTTTTTGTACTTTTATGTATTGTAGTCTGCAGCATCATATGGTCTGGTTAGTTAATCTGCTGCGTTTCTGCCGTGTGACTCCAGTGTTCTTCGAATAATTTAACAATCACAATATCCACAGTTTGCATCAAGATATTACCGACTAAAAGGCAGAATGGTGCTTTTTCCATTTGGATTTCATTGCACGGGAATGCCCATAAAGGCTTGTGCAGATAAACTGAAGAGAGAGATGGCTGAATTTGGTTGTCCCCCCGTCTTTCCCGAACAAGAAGAGGTCTTTATTAAAGAAGAGGCAGACTTAGTTCCTAAGGACAAGAGTAAAGGCAAAAAGAGCAAAGCTGTAGCTAAAACTGGGGCAGCAAAATATCAATGGCAAATCATGCAAAGTCTTGGAGTGCCTGATGAGGAAATAAAGCTATTTGCCCACGAACATTACTGGTTGGATTATTTTCCACCATTGGCTGTTGCCGACTTGAAAAGAATGGGTATTTATGTAAGAAATATTATTAACATTAATTTTGGTATTTGTTGTTATAATTATGTCCATGTAACATTTGATGCTATAAATTCGTCATACATATAAGTACGTTTACGATGAATTTATCATCAAAAAGTTCAATTAGGTCAAGTATTGTGTATACTTTTACTATCGTTCTACAATTTTAGAACTGCAACAACTTACGTTAATCTTATTACTCTTTACTGAACAGGTGGACTGGCGGCGTACATTTATAACAACCGACGCTAATCCTTACTTCGATTCGTTCGTAACATGGCAGTTCCGCCATCTGAAAGAACGAAATAAGATTAAGTATGGCAAGCGGTATACAATATTTTCACCCCTGGACCAGCAGCCATGTATGGACCATGACAGAAGCACAGGCGAAGGTGCTGGTCCGCAGGAGTACACCCTTATTAAGATGGAAGTTGTAGGACCATTGCCTGAAAGCCTCAAGTATGTTCTTTTTAACAAAGATGGAGGTTGTTATCATTGTCACTTTTAATGTCATTAAACAAGAGGCATGACTTTCTGTGTTTTTGGATGAGGCATTATTATCTTATTATTTCTTTTTTTTTTAATTGTGCACATTTATCGCCATCTCACCTGATGGAAAGTGACGATGAGATCGACGATGGAACATGCACGCCTAAATAATGCCTATTTACTCTCGCCTTGAAAAGGTCCAAGTTATTACGTGCAGGGAACAAGTCTGCAGGCAGGGAATTAATTAATTGCCTCTGTGGCTGAATGGTTACCATACTGGCCGGCCACGCAGAGGTCCCGGGTTCGATTCCCGGGCCGCGGCCGGGAGAAATATTTTATGACCTACATTTATTCTCTCGTGAGTTTGGGTGTAATTTATGGTTGTCTATGTGTGTGTCCATGACACCCGCCATACACGGTTTCCCGTAAGCAGGGAAAAAAAAATGAATGAATGAAATATGAAAAAAAAAATCTACTCTGTAGCCATTCGCCATATAAACGTGGAAGCGTAACGCTTCGAGCGAATCTTGTCCCCCAGTGATGGAAAGGTGAAGGCGGAATTAAATCATGTAATACCATCAATTTATTATAAATTAAAACGTTAAAGTTATTAATTCGAAGCTCTTTAACATTTTAGGGCGTTAAAAGACAAAAAAGTAAGCTTAGTTGCTGCCACCCTAAGACCAGAAACTATGTATGGTCAAACAAATTGTTGGGTTCATCCTGACATCAAATATATTGCCTTTGAGACTGTTAAACATGGTGTATTTATATGCACTCGACGTGCTGCAAGGAACATGGCATATCAAGGGTTTACTCAAAATGACGGCGAGTTCAAAGTGTTGCTAGAAATCGTCGGGCAGGAGCTTCTTTGCGTTGCATTGAAGTCACCATTCACGTCTTACCCAAAAATATACGCCCTGCCAATGCTAACGATCAAAGAAGACAAGGGTACTGGAATTGTTACCAGTGTACCATCTGATTCTCCTGACGACTATGCTGCACTTGTCGATCTCCAAAAGAAACCAGCCTTTAGGGTAAAATATGGAATCAAAGACGAAATGGTTCTGCCGTTCAAACCTGTTCCAATTCTAGAGATCCCAGAATTTGGCAATTTGTCTGCAGTGCATGTATACGATAAACTAAAAATCCAAAGTCAAAACGACAAGGAAAAGCTGACAGAGGCCAAAGAAATGGTTTATCTGAAAGGCTTTTATGATGGAGTGTTGCTAGTTGGAGAGTTTAAGGGCAGTAAAATTCAAGACGTGAAGAAGAACCTCCAAACAAAGCTTGTAAAAGAAGGAGGCGCAGTTATATACTACGAGCCCGAAAAAACCATCATGTCAAGATCTGGGGATGAGTGTGTGGTGGCTTTATGTAACCAATGGTATCTAGATTATGGCAATGAAGAATGGAAAGTTCAGGCAGAGAAAGCTTTGGCTGCCATGAACACATACCACGATGAAGTAAGGAAGAACTTCCAGGTCACCATCAGGTGGCTGCATGAGCATGCTTGCTCAAGAACTTATGGACTTGGTGGGTATAGTTTTTAACTTCTGTTTTTTCAGTCGTGGGGATTTAACATAATCTTTATGTACAGGAACCAAGTTACCCTGGGATCGACAGTGGCTGATCGAATCTCTGTCAGATTCAACGATCTACAATGCGTACTACACCGTAGCTCACTTTTTGCAAGGCAATACCTTTAGAGGGAACAAAGAAAATGCGCTGAAAATCAAACCTGAAGAAATGACAGATGAAGTTTGGGACTACATTTTCTTCAAAGATTCTCCTTTCCCCAAAAACACAAAGATTGCCAAGAAATCTTTGGAACTTATGAAGAAAAGTTTTCAGTTCTGGTAAGTATATAACCAACGTTTCTTCTAGCTTGATTCTGCCTGTATGTCCTCTAAAGATGGCTAACTTTACAATTTCTCCGATAAACTTAAAATCAGCAATGTTCTGGCTACAGGTACCCAGTAGATCTAAGAGCGTCAGGCAAGGATCTCGTACAAAATCATCTGACTTACTACATTTTCAACCATTGCGCGATTTGGCCGAATGAAGAGGACAAATGGCCGAAAGGCGTTCGTGTGAACGGACATCTTATGCTGAATTCCGCCAAGATGTCAAAATCGGAAGGAAACTTCTTGACCCTGATGGAGTCGATAGAGAAATTCAGTGCGGATGGAATGAGACTGACGTTAGCCGACTCTGGAGATTCTATAGAAGACGCGAATTTTGTTGAAAGTACCGCTGATGCTGCTATTTTGAGATTGTACACTTTCATTGAATGGGTTAAGGTAGCTACTAAGTCGAGTATGAGGACAGGTACGGTATATTCTCATCATATCATCATATACAGCCTGACTTTTATATAGTTGGGTATAGGCCTCCAAGTTTCTGTGCCACTCTTCACGGTACCGTGCTAATCTCATCCAGCTTCGCCCCGCAATTCTTGCGATGTCGTCTGCCCATCTCGCACCTGACCAAACATTACTGTATTCTTTGTTCCTTAAACATTGTAAAATTCTTTCACTTCTATAGCACTGTTGCCCCGCTCTTCTAATGTGAAAGATTAATGAACAACTACAGGGTATCTCAATTCACATGAAAAATCAGATTTAATTAAATGGTTTTTCAACTCTGTTGGACCTCTAAAAATCACATATTTTATTGGCTTTTCTCTCTATTTTTTTTAATGGATCGTCTTGTATTCCTAGGCCACTACAATTTCCACGACAAAGTGTTTATAAGCGAAATGAACACAAAAATCCAACAAACAGACGACAATTATAAAAAAATGTTATTCAAGGAAGCTTTGAAAACTGGTTTCTTCGAACTCCAAGCCGCGCGCGATAAATACAGGGAGTTATGTTCAGAAGGAGACATGCACGCTGAATTGGTCACTCGGTATATAGAGACACAGGCGATACTCATGTCACCTATCTGCCCGCACGTTGCTGAGTATGTTTGGGAACTACTAGGAAATGTAAGTATATTAATTATGATGTCTCAGTTCTCTTGTGCTGGCTTACAGAGGTTTTTTAAAATATTTCGTGGTTTCCTCTCATCGATTACGTTATAATAATTAATTTTCAATTTTGGGGAAAAATTTTGTTGCAAAAAGCAAAAGTTTTTTTAAATTTTTTAACGGTTTTAAGTAAAAAAATACGGGAAATTTCTAAAATTTGTTTTAAATGCTCTTTTTTGGAGGGGCCAATGTCTAACCATAGGCTTTAATGTGCTCATTGAATGTTAGTGTATGAACGAGGTAGAAACACCTTCACATTTCCCAACATCGTTTTCTTTTGTTCATAAACTATGCCGATTAGAAATGCCTATGAAAAGTTTAATTAAAAACTTACGCCTTTTAAATGATTTGTAACGCATAACATCAATTTTATTATGTGTTTTGTCATCTCTCACGTGACACTGATACTTATGTGTTTAATCTAGTTGAATATTTGTTTATTTATTTTATTTTGTATGTTTTGTTTTTATATGAACATGTTTCTTCTTATCGCAGTTTTTAACTATCAGGTAGGTCAGTATCAGGTCAGGTATTTAATAACATAAATGTAAGCGGCTAAGGCAGACCTTGGAAGCAAAGATTTGTTTTCGCTCCAAAATATGAATCGACTGTAATGTCGATTTTTGTGAATTTTCACCTCCTGTGTGCACGCCAGCGGTCGCTTTTTTGTTGTTATAATTCCAACACATCGAGTATATAACCAGAAATAGAGACGAAATAAGGGCCATATATTATTCGTGGTAACACATTAGCGATATAACTCTTATCAACTCTCGTTTCCACTGAAATATAGACAGGCCAACTACCTGTGGTACGTCTCCGTATGTATATTCCAAAAAATATTCTGAATTTATTGTAATAAAGATAATATCTCTAACAATGCCGTGTTGTTCTATTCGGTGGTGTGGGAAAAACAGCTAAACATCCAATTATCGGTAATTAAATATTAAAGAATATATATATATAAATAATTTTGCAGTTTTCGTCAATTATAGCAAAGCTCAAGTTAACTGGTCGATTTGAAGTGAAACAATTGACGACACCCGTCAATTGTTTCGAATTCGGGATGGCCAATCGGAGCGCAGTTGTCACAGTAATGATAAGGCAGAATAGTTTTCAAACAAGTTAAATAACATTTCGTCTCTATTTCTGGTTATATACTCGATGTTCCAACAAGTCCAAAACAAACTTATTTACTAAAAGTCGCCAAAATGCTGTGCTTTTCATTTAATGTTATTATTATTATAAATTATATTATATTATAACCGCGAACTGAGCGGTTTTTTAAATATAAAACAGTTTTTTTATTGTAGCAGTAGTTTGGACTTTCGATTGTTGCTGTTGTCAATAAATGAAATAGTTCTTAAAAGTGCCGTATTTGTTTACATTAAAAATAATAAAAAAGTCTTTGGAAATGAAACTTTTTTCCGGATTTCAATCGCATATATTTGTTTTTTCAAACAAACCAACGCAACATATTAATCAATCAACATATTTACAGGTATCATGGTAATGGACCTGTAAAGGGCTCGAACGTAGGTTTATTTGAAAAAAAAAAACAAATATACACGATTTCAATCCGGAAAAATAGTTTCATTTCCAAAGATTTTTTTTTATTATTTTTAATGTAAACAAATACGGCACTTTTAAGAACTATTTCATTTATTGACAACAGCAACAATCGAAAGTCCAAACTACTGCTACTTACAATAAAAAAACTGTTTAATCGCGAAAACACAAGAACTCAATAAAAATCTTGTTTAAAGAAAAAGAGCATCCTTCACGAGCAATGGCCGGTGGCAGGCCCAGTAGATGAAGTTATAGTAAAGGCCAGCAATTACCTGATGGACGCAGCGCATAATTTCCGCATACATTTGAAGAACCACTGCGCTGTCAGGAAACCTAAGAAGGGAGAGACTCCGAAACCCGAGAGGAAACCAAACAAGGCTGTCATATGGGTCGCGAAAGAGTACCCTAAGTGGCAACATATTATCTTGACTACTTTAAAGCAACTTCATGGAGTGAGTATTTTTTATTCCATCTTAATTACAAAACACCATACGTATGTAGTTCCGACTAGTTTGATTCCTTGCTCTTAATTTTACTGCTTTCTTTTGGAGAAGTATATCACGTGATATTGTTTATATTGTAACAATTAATTAACATTAAAATAGATACAGTGGTTATTTTTTCTAATGTAAGTGTAAATCATTGAAATAGTGTTAAATTTTAATTATAATAGTTGATTTCAAAGCAACCACTATTCACTAGTAGGTAGTTGTTACAGAGGTTACCGTGAGTTTACAGTGACAGCTGTCGTTAGCGACTGCCTTAAAATATTTATACACAAAATAGCTAGAAATTTGTCACACAAAATTGCGAAATATTTACGTGCGGTTGCTAGCGGCAAATGTCACAGATTTATTACTCTCAACATTGACTTCTCAACAACAAAATGTGCTTTAACACTGGAACATAAAAAATTGATGCAGTAATGAGTTAGAAGATCAGTATCAGGATCGTAGCATATGGACGATTGTGTTTTTGTTGGGCATTAATGTTATGAACATAAAATAAATTATAATTATATTACGGTTTTAGGGCGCTACTTCACTGCGAACAAGAAATACTTGTAATGAAACGTTCACAAGCGAGCATTACAGGCGATGAGGGATGAAGGCCGAACATTCGTTGCGCAACACTTGTAACATTCGGTAGCCTCCTTCACCGAGACCATTCGCCTGTAATGTAACAATCTGTTCAGATTGAGGCTGCGACTCCACCAGATATATTGGAAATGTTTTTAAATCTTTACTTAAGAGTGCGAGTGCTTTTGAATGTCATTAAGTGCATTTTTTATGTCTATGAACCTTTGAGTGCCAGCGAGGCAAAGGCACTCGTGGGCACACCTGGCTCTCGTGGGCTCTCTCAGGCTCTCAGGGGCACTTGCGGACTCTCAGAGGCACTCGCATGCACGCTTTTCTACGTCGCACATCTCTGGTGGAATCGCAGCCTAATCGAATCTTGGATGTTATATTACTAGTAATGCTCAAAAACGAATCTTTACAGGCGAATGCTCGCCAGCGCCCTAAAACTGAGAAATACTAACTATTCCTTCTTGACCCCAGCCATCAGGTCTGCCCGACAACAAAGCGATATCAAGCAAGCTGGGCGAAGTTGCCGAACTAAAGAAGTACATGAAACGTGTGATGCCATTTGTGCAAACAACACGAGAGAACATGGAACGAGTGGGCATCGACGCTCTGTCCGTGGGACTGCCTTTCGACGAGGCGCAAGTACTGTTGGACAATAGGCAATACCTAATGACTACCTTAGACGTAAGCATATTTTTATAAATTTATAAAACATATGGTCAGTTTTAGCAATAATAACAAATAATTCCAAGTATCAGGGATGTACGTGTATCTTGTCTGTACACGTATTAATAATCCTGTGCTTTCTGGTAAATAGAGTCCGAATTACATTATAATGAATTTATTGCTATGCATTCTTTCATTCTGTAGGTAGCACATAATAATCAGATGACTTTTTAAAAATTACTACTATAAATGTGTCGTTTATTATAAAAGTGAAATAAGTCATTGTAATTAAATTTTGAAATAATGAGCTTTAAGCAAATTAATGTGTAGTAATTTTAGTCCTCTGAGTAAACTAGTAATGCCATCTATGGGACTTTAGTGCAATTATTGTAGTTGTTTCACTTTTATAATGAAACAAGATATGACTAAATGCGATACTTTTAATCAAAAAAACATGTGTTTTAAAATATAGACTTACACCACTTTTATAATGATCGACAAAAATATCACATGCCACGCAACATCGATCTAATGCAAACATATGCTCCATGCTTGTAATATAACCTTCAAAATTACAGCTAGATTCAATAGAAGTGAAATTCACGGAAGCGCCAGATGCGCCAGAGAAGACGCGCGAGGACTGTGCTCCTGGTCAACCCCACATCAACTTCAGCGCCGAGGCGGGCGTTGATATGATCATCGTAAACCCTATAGCGCGCAATGGCCTCTTCTCTATTTCTGTAAGCGTAGCAGATGGAGACTCCGTGGAAAAAGTTAAAGCGAAGATTGCCAAAGAGGTTAAAGCTATCAAAGGTACCTATATATTAAAAAAAAATTAAATATAAAATTACCACTGTAAATAATATTTCATAACTTTTTAAACAGTAACCCAAAGTGCTTCTATATAAAAAGAAGCCGATAAATAAATTTATTACTGTTTACTGCTTATTTCTTAATTTTGGTTTTTAAAACAAACCTTGAAAATATCGCATTTGTCTTGCGAGACAATGAAAAATCCACTAAAAATCATCATCATATCAGCTGGAAGACGTCCACTGCTGAACATAGGCCTTAACGAAAAATCTTACAGTCGTCAAATAAGATTCCTTGATACCTTTATTCTTTTTTCAGATGTGAACAGACTAAAGTTATGGCGATACAAGGACTCTGTCCTAGGACCTCGCAAAATCCCAGTACCCGGCAATCATGAAACTAAATGTATTACCCTAGAGAACTCAGCAGTATTAAAAGTGGACGTCACTAAAAACGCCATAGAGCTAGTCTCCAACGGAACGAACCTGCCTGTAGGCACGCAAATGGTTTACACATATGAATAACAGTAGATCTAAGAGGTTTATGCATAAATAAATTATTGATTACAGTCTGTTTTTTTACTGCAATAGATAGGGAAGTTTCCGGAACTGGCTACTTACATAAACAATATTTAAAAATAGGAAATGAAACTATTTGGTCGATAAACTAGCTAACAAAAAATCTTTTGCGAAGTAAAGTTCGTACGAAACACTAAAAAATTCAATTTTAATTTGTTTATTATGTATAGGAAATGAAACTATTTTTCCGGATTTAAATCGCGTATATTTGTTTTTTCAAACTAACCGACGTTTCGGGCCCTTTACAGGTCCCATGGTCACGGTTGACTGAGGTGGTACAGTCTTCAACCAGTTATGTCTAATATTGATGCAAACCACCCTATTTTTTCACTATAGTTACAATAGTTTATTAATAAATAATATTATTAATTAAATACCTTATTTTTAATTTTACAAAGAAAACATTTTCCAATTTACGCTAAATTAAGTTTTACAAATATATTTATTGAATGAATTTTTATTAAGTTCAATTTATTATTAATTAATAATATATTTAAAAAGTAATTACAACATTTGAAAATGGAACTCTGGCTGTAGAATACAGTTTGTTTCATCTGACTGTCACTTATTTTTACATTGTGGCGTCATTTTAGAAATTGGTTGTCTACATCACCATGGATTTAACTCGTGAAAATTTTCATAGTAAGATTAAGTGTAATTTAACAGCTCAGCGCTTCAAACTGCTTTTGGCGATGAAGCACCATGCAAGACTATTTATAGCTGGTTTGCAGAATTCAAACGGTTGTGTGAATCTCAGTGACGATTTCGTGATGGTCGCCCGTCCACTGCTGTGAACAACAAAAACGTCGATGCTGCGCGTCGTGTGACCAAAACAGACAGGCATGTGACTCAAAGTGCCTCTAAGCGGATGATTGCTTCTTTTTTTAATAAAACTGGACACGTGACTACTGTTGCTTTGGAGAGTCGTTGTATCGTGAATAGTGATTGGTACACGATCATTTTTTTGGCAGGAGAAGAAGATATGATTTAAATCACCATAGGCCCCACAGGGGTATGCAGGGTCGGGAACGATTTTGAGTTTGAACAGGTGGGCAGGAGTTGTCACGTGACCAAGTCGTAGTCTACAAATAATGGAGGTAGTTTTATATGTTGTGATGAGTTGTAGGGCTAGTAGTAGGGCTGTAGGGTTGCGAATATAGCAGTATCTCGTGCTTTATTCGCTCTCGCTCAAGTCGCCCACTGTCGTGTCAGCTCTATTGGCCTCTTTCAAATGGTTCCACCGTCTAATGAGATGTTCATAATATTTTTCTCAATAAACGTTGCGACTTTGGGCCGAGCTGCCTGGAATGGATTTAGCGCAGTCAGGTCAGTTAAGTCAAACATGTCAATGTTGGGGCCGTTTTCAATTTCTGTCAACCTGTTACGGCGGTGTAAAAGAAACAAAGTAGTACAGTTCAATAATATAATTAAATAACATATAAATGGTTATTCACAGTAGAATGTTCAACATTGCGAGTAGATATGGCTAGTGGTATTTTATTTCATTAATTAGACTACGTGGGCGCGTGTGCCGTGAAAAGGTTTTCTAGGCCCGCGCCCTCTGGCGTGTCTACGGCGCTTCGGGGCTTCTCTTTAGCTGTATGCATGGTAGGCAGATCTAGAATGTACACTTCTTTCTTAAATAGCTGTCCGACGTTTCGACCGATTAACTGCAACAATTTTTTTAACATGAAGTCTGTACCTCACCATGAGTTTATTATAGTAGCAATTGTCGCTAGCGATGGCGTAAAACACAATATAACATAATCGAGTATTTAAATTTTGATTAGCACCTATAATAAAAGTTTTAATTTAGTCGATTTAATCGCAAATAAGTGGATGGGCTAACATTGCTCATAGGGTAGACAGAAAACATCTTATAACTTTAAAACGACTGTGACTAAATCTACTTTTTTGCGACTTGAAACGACCAATTCAGCAGCTTCTAGAGTAGTAATACGAGCATAACTTCGTTCCAGTTTTGTAGGATAAAGTCTTGGATACACTAGGCGATAAAATGTTCCCAACGCGATGCGCAACAGTCTAATCTACGTGACTTTGCAACGTTGCCGAGTGTCCCGCATCAAGCCGCGCAACATTTTGCGACGCATTTACGTGATGCGGAACATGTTGCAAGTTGCCGCTCCGAGAGAAACCCACGTGGGATACGTCAGTACCACTTCATTTGCTGCCAAGTGTAGTCGTGTGCGCACGTGGCCCTTAACATGTCTGTAGTGTGGAGTAACGAAACCGTGCTGTTACTGATTGAACTTTACCAGAATCACGATTTGTTGTAGGACAAGGCAAATTGTGATAGCAAGTCTGATATGAGGGTCAACTTCTGTAGTATTGTATCCTGGTTAACTATGGAAGATCCATTTGCAATAAATTTTCAAATTCAGACGTTGACATTCATAAATGCTTCGCTCCTCTGACACTCTTACTAAACATTCTTCTTTAATTTTTATTCCAACTCTTTTACCGTTTCCGCAATCAGACTGTGGAATTCTCTCCCTGAATCGATTCAAGGTTCCCCTTCTCTTCATTCCTTCAAACGTGTCAAGGTTGACTTCCTCAAGTCTAAGTTTTGTCTTTTTCTCCATTATTCTTTCATTTATTTTCTATACTTATTATTTCAATTTTCTTTTTTCTTTTAAAGTATATAAGAATTTAATATTATTATTTATGTATTGTTCTGTATTAATAATATTTGTATGGATATTTCTATCTATGTATATGAGTTTATTAATAATTATTGTGTAGTGTACTTATAATGATATTCTTTGGTTGCACCCTGTGTGAACATCCCAAATTTATATCCTAAGGTTTACTGGAACAAATTGCTACATAGCAATAAGGCC